GCTACAGTTTAACAGTCAAACACTCAGTGGGGAGCTGGGCACATGCAGACTCTGAATCTCAGCCCTGCCCCTTCGAGCCGTGTAACCTTAGGAGAGTCCCTTAACCTCTCTGGGCTTCAGTTTCCTCAGCTACAAAGAGGGACTAGGAATAATCCCGTTTCATGTGGTGCCTTGATGGTTAAACAGACTGAAGTACGTGCACGTAATGGAATAGTGCCTGGCACAAAGTAAGCACCATGCAAACATTAACGATCATTTTCTAGAACACTAGACTTGGGTATTTTCGGGTCTAGAGGGGTTTTTAGGGATCATCAAGTAGAACTCCTACGGAAATGGAAGTTCATTGACAGAAGGCTGTGACGCCCAGGGCCACCCAGAGAGGTGGGGTGAGCACCCCCACGGGTCCGACACTAGGCTCAGTGTCTCTCCTTATACTACACGTGCCCAGTGACTGTGGTCACTCGGCCAGACTCGGGTGGATCCGGCTCCTTCGGCTCTTGAATCCACGGTGCTACCTTGTATCAAGATCTGTAATGGATATGAGAGGGGGCATAGCGTGGGACTGCGGGCCACGGGCGGGGGTTGGTCAGTACCTTATCTTCCATGATGGTGGCTACATCTGGCAAGCCCCTCACCACCTTGGCACGATCTGGAAGGGAAAAGAGAGACCCTCGGTGATGAGTGCTTTCCTGCCAGCTGCTTCCCGGGATCAGGTTCCACAGAGCAGGGGTTTTATTTTTAAGCAACGTTTCTTTTCTCTATTTTCATCATTTCGGGTAGAAATTAAGTCTGTATTATGTGTTTCTTTGCCTTCACAAACAGAAGATAGGGACACGCTGTGCTTCTGTGACTGACTTGAAGTCACCCTTATGACCGGTGGTGCCTGAAGGTGACAGTGAGGTGCCCCTCCGCCTCCAGAACTGGGGCGGAGGAACGGGCCGGCCGGGGTCACCTGATGAAGATAACGTGTGTGGACTTGGTGGTGGCATCCTTGCTGCTCAGAGGCCAATTCACGTCCCTCTGGGGTTGGGGCTGTGTCCTGGGCTGCAGGAGGCCCCAGTGCCCCAACAGGCAGAACCGGCTTCGGCTTTAAGGCCGTCCCCTCCCCGGCCCTCACCCCTCACCCGGGAAGCCCGCCCAGCCTCCCTCCTGTCTATCCCTGCCTTTCAGGCCCCGGCTGCTGCACCTGCTCAGTCCACACCCACACATCAGGCGTCCGTGGACCCCTTATCCATCCATCTGCCGTCGTGTCCCTGCCGCCCACAGCCACACAGACCCCATGGGGAGCTGGGACCTCAGAGCCCTGCCAGGAGGCACGAACTCACGGGAAGCTGCCCCAAACTCAGACGTGAAAATAACAGAAATACGAGTGGACTTACTCTTCTCGATGATGGCCAAGGCTCTGAAAAACAGAAATGGGGAAAAGGCTTGAGTTCCATTTGTTAAAGGACAGGCCTTCCCCGGGGTGGGGGTGAGGGGGCCATGAGGGAAAGGCAGAGCTGGCTGAGGCTCCCAGGAAGGGGTCCTGTACCCAGCTCGTGCCAGACCCCAAGGGGCCGATGGTTCACACAAGAAATGCAGGGGGCACTTACTTCAGCCGCTGGTGCTCAGCCAAGGCGTCGTCAAAAGCTGCCAGAAGGAAAGAGAGGGAGGTGGGGGAGGGGGGGAGCGTCAGAGCCTCGGCCCCTGTGGCCTGCAGGTTACAGGGCTTAGGCGCTGCCTGTTCCTCCACCGTCTTCCCATCCCTGTGTTCTCTCGGGGCGGTGCCAGGATTGGGTGGCGAGATGGGAGTCCCCTGCCCTCAAAAGACCACAGGATTTTCTAAACAGGTTTCTCTGCAGACAGACGGATGGACAGCTCACCTTGTCCCGAGAGATCAGTTGAGAGCTGCCGGGTATCCTTCCCGGCGGCTATCTCCAGGGTGTATTTGCCCTTGTCTGAGTCCTTGGGGTCCAGGATGTGGAGCCAGATCTCATCCAGGGTGGTGCCAGCCCTCACCCGATCACCACTCTCCAGGCGTTTTTCTCTGGATATGAGGGCAAAGAAATGTTGAACACGGCTCAGCCCGTCAGTGCTGCCCTGCTCGTCAGTGCTGGCTGGCTAGGGGTCTACAGGCACCCCCCCACCCCCGAAAACTCCTCTCCTGGGGTTTTGTTTCCAGATCTGTGGGCTGACCATCCATCATTCATTCATTCATTCGTTCATTCATTCATTCAGCAAATTCATGGCACATCAACCATGTTCCAGTGCTGAGTCTGTATTTGTGATGTGTCCTTCAGCCTGGGACCTTAAAGAAACGGGGCTCTGGGGTCAGTGATCCCCACGTCCTCCACCCCCGGGGATCACTTCCTCACCTCTTCATTTTCCTCAGCTTAAACCCTCCCAGCGTGTCTTCCCACCATCATCCTTCCCTAGTCCTTAAAAACCATATCGACTCCTTCCCTTCTTTACTTGTATTTCATTCCTGGAGATGCCCGGTCCATGTCCTCAATGTTGTGTTGCAGAAGTGACACCTGTGGACCTGGTCACAGGGCTCAGAAACTCTGGCTAGGAAAGGAGCCCTTGGCTTTGACCTCACTCATTTGACAAACTTGACCAAGTCAGTCTAGCCTTCTCCATAGGATGAGTGCAGCAATGTCTGCTCCACAAGGCTGAGGCATGCAAATGGTAAGCAGCACCGGGAAAATAATGCTCTCAAACTGTCTGCAGTCCCTTAGCTCCCGGCTGAGTTTCTGTGGGTAACTTACCCATCCTGCCTTCTGGCCCTGGCACGCAGTCCGTTGTCAGCCCCACACATCCCTCTGCCTGCACCTATCCCCTCAGCCTGGCTGCCTGAGTTTGCTAAGGCTGCAAAGACCCACAAAGGCGCCGTGACCCACCCGACCATCTGGTCCTCCCTCATTCTGCATCCTTCCAAGATGCTTCTCTAAGACAATGATGCTTCTGTGGCCATGGATGTGCTAGAAAAATGGGTTTACCACCAGGGTTCCTACCTTCCCTGGGGAACCTCCCTTCTGTACCTTTCATTGCTCTTCCCTATCCCTGATTCTCTGTGCACAGCGTGACTAGTGAGAGACCCTGTCTCTGCCAACCCCGTGGGATTGGGCTCTGGGACAGATGCTGTCTGTCCTCCCCCACCCCCAGAGCTGGGCTAGGGCTCTAGGGAAAGGCCAACTTACTTGTGGAACCAGGTGGTTTTCATGTACTGGATATTGTAGTACTTGACCTTGCTGAAGATCCGGATCCCCTCTTCGGTCCCCTGGATTTTCAGCGGGGTTGCAGAGAGGGCTGGGGAGGCAAAGGAGAAGGCCAAGGCCCTTTGGGCAGCACATCTGGGTGCCAGCCAGCTCCCCCCCCTGCTCTACACGTGCGGTGGGGGAAATGCAGCATTGTGAGGAGGTACGAACTTCTCCGTCGATCTTTGAGGTTGGAAACTAAACCCATGCCTGGCAGCCAAGGCTGGCTGGAGGTGAGTTGGAGGCTATTTGGCATCAGGACAGGGCTGAAAAAAGGGTGGGGGGGCTTGCTTACCACCAATCCTGCCCAGCTCAGTGTAGATGGCATCCAGGGCTGGAGGGAGACAGAGAGATGGTCAGCTGACATAGGGTCCTTCGAGGGATGTGCCAGGGGTAGGCATGTCCCTGGGAAAGCCTGGTGGACCTCATGAACAGCTCAGGGTACAGGGAGCTCCACAGGATGTCCCCTCACTGGCTTGGGTCTGGGGCACTCACTGATTGATGGGACGGGGGGGGCACCACGGACGGAGGACAAATAGGGCAGCCTGACAATTTTCTTGGAGGCTGAGTCAACCAGCCTGATGGTTGACTGAGCCTGGGGCTCGGTAGGGGGTGGAGGGGTGAACTCCGGCTTCGGGTCTCGAAGCCTAGGCTCACGGCGGTATGCTGCAGAGAACCCGGATTTCGGTATCGCAGACCAGGTCCCTGCCACCCGCCCGCTGTGCAGCCTTGGGCAGGTCCCTTAGCTTCTCTATTGCCCCAAGTGATATGGTGATCTCATAAATTTTACCCTACAGGTCGTATCACATCTTGTGGTTCTGTGTGATCCCTGGGTCCTCCTGGCCCATCTCTCACATCGCCAGCTCCTACCTTCACCTGTGAGGTCCAGTATGGTGTCATCCTCCCCTCGATTGTCAGAAACCGTTGCTCTATAAATTCCCTTGTCCTCTTTGGACAGCTGGAAAGAAGCATGAGAGCATGAGGGTATTGGCATAGGTTCTGGAAGGAGTGCCAATCAGCCTGGGCTCCAGGCCTGCCCCTAACTCTCTGTGTGATCGCAGGCAAAAACTCTTCTTCTCTCTGGGCCTCAGTTTACCCATCTGGAATGGGTGATTTCTAAGGTTTCTTCTACCTCTGGAGCTCTTTGACTCCAAGTTCAGGGCTGGTCTGGGCCGGGGGGCAGGTAGCGGGAGGTGGGGGGGAACTGAGGGCAGAAGCAGACACCCCACCTTTAGATTCACAGGCAGCTGCACCGAGAAGGACATGAGGACCTCTCTTTGCAGGGTTACCTGAGCTGCCCTGCTCCCCGGAGGCCCCCGCTGGAGGGACCCCTCTGCACTTCTCCAGAAGGAAGCGTGCGATCTTTTGGCCAGGACAAGGGGCTCCTTTCTGGCGCGTGCTCGTCAACCCCAAATGAAGCCCGAACTGACACTCAGCAAAGCAAGAGCCTGGGTTGGGCTCCTGAAGCAAGGTCCAGCTGTCACAAGTGACCTCTCCTTGCACAGCATCTCCTTCGGGCCCTGGGAGAACTATCGGCTTCCCTGTCCCCCCTCAAAGGGTCTCTCCCACTCCGACCATCTCTCCATAGTGTGTTTTGAGGCAGAATCCAAGGCAGAGACAACCCTTAACCTGGGGATTGGAGAGCTGAACCCCAACAGACCTCTCCTGCTTGGCCCCCTCCTCCCCCAGTGGAGGCTCCAAAGTCCCAGCCAAACCGGGGGCGGGGGAGGGTGATTGTGTCTTTGCACTTAACCCCTCGGAGCCTCCATTTACTCGCCTGTGAGATGGTGGCATAATCCTCGCCCTGGCCATGGGCTGTCGCTACAAAGGGCGGTAACTCTTTGGAAGCCAGAAAGCCAAAGATAATCCAACCGATTATTACAACAAGCCTCGCGAGCTACGAAGCGCCTACTTGCCACCGAGCCCTGTGCCAGGAGCTTGCGCTGTGGCGACAAAGGCCGGTTGTGGCATCATCCTGGCCGGGATTTGGGGGAAGACCCTGAAGTCATTGTTCCCTTCCTGGTCAGCAAACTCACATTTGCTCCACTCCTCCGTGGCACCCCGTGAGGCCACAGAAACCAGCCGCAGGGCAGAGAAGCATCGAAGGTTTGAGCACAGGCCTTGTGTTTCCATCTTAACCAGGCCACCCACCCTCTGAAGGCCAAGTGGGCTGGAGAACGAAGCCTCAGGCCAGCTCTGCTCTGCCCAGACCCGCCTCACACAGCGATCGCCTTCCGGCCCTGAATCCTACACTCTCGGTCGGGGCAGGAACAAATCTTTGACTGAGCGTCCCTTCTGACCCATTCATGTTACAGACGAACGCTGAGCTCAGAGGACAATGACTAGCCCAAGGTCACACCGCTAGTGGCGGGGCCAGAAATGCAATCCAAACAAAAGGCAATATTAGTATCGCTGTTCCTGCCTTTACTTAAAATGTTTCTATTTCCCCCTCCATGGACTTTTTTTTTTCCTTGCATTAATTTTGGTTCAAAAAATACTGCGTGAAATGTTATTTATCTTGATTGCTGAGTTTTTAGTGCCCCTTAAATTCTGTGCTCGAAGTGAGTGTCTCACTGGCCTCATCCTGGTCCCAGCCCCGCTCCTGACTCCGTGCCCAGTGCTCTTGACTGCGTGCCCAGTGCTCCTGGTGCTGCCTGGAGGGTGTGAGACCTGGGGTTGCACCTACCTCCTCGATGCACAGGATTCCCACTCCAGTCTGTGGGTCGTACTGACCGTCCGGTGTCTCTTTCTTCTGGAAGAACCACTGGAAGCAGGTTTCCTTCTTGGTGTTGGTTGCCTGAGGGAGGCAGGGAATGAAGAGACTCTCTCAGGCTTTCTCTTTTTAAGTAAGAACTCAACTCATCAGATCTCTCCCTCTCTTTTTTTTTCCTACACACTTGCGTCTCCCTCACCCCCATACTCGCTCGTAGCTAATTCCTTCTTGGATCTCAACTAGTCCTTCCTTCATGTCCTGTGCTCGTTCCACATTCTGGATTTGATCTCTTCTCTCCTCTATGTTTCCTTGTAAGCGTCTGTGCGTCTTACAGATCCTACCCTTCTCCGGGCATCTAAAGAGGCTGCAGGGTGCTGAGAAGGAGCACCACCCTTGGAGTCAGACTGCGTTAAAACCGCGCTCCAGACTTCACCTCCTACCCCGTGGTCTTGAGCTGTTTCTCTACTTGTTCTCCGACCCACGCCTGTCTCACAGATGATTGTGAGGCAGATGGGTGCTGAGCACAGGGTCTGGCAAGGCTACTAACAAACATTAGGGAATCCCCCTCCATATATAGACCCCTCACTTGCTCCTGGCCCCCCTGGCCCCACAGAACCCCTTCCTGGAACAGCTGGGAGATCTAGCTGAAGGCTGGTGGGACCCCCACTAATTTGGCTCCTGGGGCTCTTCCAGGGAGTAGCTTTGTTTTCTAGTTACATTGGTCTTCCTGGGGCTACTTCTCCTTGGGATCAGCCAAGCACAGGAATTTGGGAAAGCGGCAAGGACAGCCACCGGGCTGGGGGGGACGAGCCACATGCTCCCCGCACTGGGGGGGGGGGGGCAGGGCTGGAGGCAGGGGCGGGGATTTGCCTTGCATGTCAGCAGCACTTGGCAGTCCTCCGTGACCTTCCACTGCAAGGGCTCCTCGAAATACGGACCTGCGAGCACAAAACAAACACGCCCACCGTCAGAGCTCCAGGCTCCGCCAGGGCGCCACCTGGTGGTGAGATGGGGGGCAGCCCGAGGGGGAGGGGCAGCTAGAGACCACAGGTCCCTCAGATTCTGCCGCCACCAAGGCAGGGACGGAGGTGAGGCAGGAGAGGTGCCTGGTGCGCCAAATTTAAGGAGGTGTCACTCTCAGGGTTGGGCTTGACCCTCAGGGGTATTGCTCTGTGTCTTGCTCTTGCACCGGGACAGAGCTGCATTGAATTGCAGTGGCCCTCCCTCGGGGACCCAGTGGGGCTGAGGGACCTGTTAGCCCACCCGTCCCGCAGGTCCCTAGCAGGTCCCCAGCACTGACCGCTGGCTTGGTGGCCACGGCCTCTGAATTTCACCCCAGCAGTTCTTACCCTGTTTTCTCTTCCAGTCTCTCCTCTTAGCGTCCGCTTTCCGCAGAAGTTTGTCAAAATCTGTGAACACATCGGGAGGAAGAGTTGTGAGCCGGGAGGAGCGTGGGGATGGACACAGGCCCCGGAGCTGAGAGGCCAGGTTGGGCGTGTGGGGCGGGCAGGGCGCCGCTGACCGTCATCCACCAGTGCCAGGGTGATCTGGTTTTTGGCTTTTCCATCCTGGAGCTGAGCAGTATAGGATCCTTTGTCATCCTCCGACAAGTTCTGGATGATCACTTCCACCAGGCCCTTCGCTCGGTCAAAATTGATTTTGCGGTTCTGGGGAGAATAAAGCCGGAGAATCTTTTTTGCCCTTCTCCTATCCCAGGGAATTGGTACTGTGGGACACAAATCAGGGCGTACCTGGACTTGAAGGGGTGGGGGGTGCGATATGTGCAGAGTTAGATGCCTTCAGAGACTGGGGAGGAGGCCCTGGGTAACTCTGCTTCTCCTATAGACCCGGGCTGTGTCACACCGGCCCTGGGAACACCCTGGGGCCCAGCGGGCACAGGAGAGTCTTGGGTACTTGAGTTAACGGCAATTAATAATAAGCCCAAACCCCCTGTGCCACATTTTCTACAAATCCCCATACAAGTTTAAAGGATAACATAAAAAATGCCTGTGTGCTTGCTACCCAGAATTAACACTCATTTACATTTTGTCACGTTCTAACAGGTTTTAAAAGTTTTATTTTCCACATTTAGGACTGTCTTCTCTCTGGACTTATTTGTATGTATGATTTGAGGGAGCCATCCAGTTTTATTTTTTTTTTTATAATTTTTTTAATGTCTATTTATGTTTTTGAGAGAGAAAGAGACAGAGGGTGAGTCGGGGAGAGGCAGAGAGAGAGGGAGACACAGAATCCGAAGCAGGCTCCAGGCTCTGAGCTGTCAGCACAGAGCCGGATGCGGGGCTCAAACTCACGGAGTGTGAGATCATGGCCTGAGCGGAAGTCGGACGCTTAACCACTGAGCCGCTCAGGTGCTTCCCCCGCCCTTTCTTCTAAGTTTATTTTGAGAGACAGCAAGTGCAAGCAGGGGAGGGGCAGACAGAGAGAGAAGCAGAAGCAGGCCCTGCACACTGTAAGTGTAGAGTCCCACTCTACACGCGGGGCTCGATCTCACGAATAGTTTTATTTTTCTGTAGGGACAACCAATAGTCCCAATGCCATGCACTCAAGAGGGCAGACTTTTTCACACTTCCTCTACCATGTGCCAAGGTCGCTGTTAATCTTTGTGTAGAACTTTCATGTCTATTTTCTCGTTTGCTTCTTCTGATCCCGGGACAACCAGCCCCGTTGTACAGATAAAGAAACGGAGGCACAGAGAGGTGCAGAGGCCTGCCCAAGGGCACACAGCCCACAGGTAGGAGTCCCGACATCCAGCCCTAAGCAGATTCTCCTCTGTCAGAACCAGTGCTCCTTTCTGTAACACATATTGTCTGATGCCCACTTTGCCATCTGAAAATGCAATTTGCAAACAATATGGCAGCATGATCGAATCTCTCCTGAGACTGAAATTGCCATGTTTGTAAAAACAGTTGACTGTGGGCAACTCATGCTTCAATCTAATACAATCTATCGACAGGCGTGATTTTTTTTTTATACCACAACTGTAACGCGAAGAAGAAATAAAAATCATATGCATTTCAATAGTAGATGCTCAGTGATAATCTGTCTTGTTGCACGGATTTATGATGAACTGGTTTGAATTTAAGAGAAGTTCGGTAAAGCAAAAAGATCAAAAGCCATTTTGTACAAAAAAGAACAGGAAAATGAACGAAAGAGTGTAGGGTCAGGTGGCTAACGGAGTAACTTGTCTATTCGGTGTATATTAAAACTGCACAAATACTTTGTATCACAAGGTGAGGGTCTAGGTTCAGAGAACTGTAAGCGTGAATGTAGGTTTTTAATCTTAAGAATGTTGGGGCGCCTGGGTGGCGCAGTGGGTTAAGCGTCCGACTTCAGCCAGGTCACGATCTCGCGGTCCGTGAGTTCGAGCCCCGCGTCGGGCTCTGGGCTGATGGCTCAGAGCGTGGAGCCTGTTTCCGATTCTGTGTCTCCCTCTCTCTCTGCCCCTCGCCCGTTCATGCTCTGTCTCTCTCTGCCCCCAAAATAAATAAACGTTGAAAAAAAATTTTTTTAATAAAAAAAAAAAAAAAAAAAACGTCTAGTAGGACAGTCAAAAGTTGGGGGGGGGGGGATGGAGAGTCTTTATCCGTGGGAGTGTTTCTCGCACTGGCGGGCCCTAGCCACCAGGTGTCCCCACCCCCATCTCATCGCTGTGACAAAGCATGTGGCCGTTCCTGAAATGTCCACTAGGGGGTGCTGTTGGCCCCGCCAGACGCCGCGTCCCAGACGGCGGGGCGGGGGGCGCCTCCCCTAAGAAGTCTGAGCCCCCGGTTACCGGTGAGCTGAAGATCTCCTTCTCGTTGAAGATTAGATGCAGCTCAGCGGCGGGAGATAACTTTTCCACTTCCAGCCACAGGCGCACCTCTCCTTGCTCGAGGATGTCAACGTTCCAGCCAGAGATCAGCTTGATCACTGGAAGGCGGAGGACACGAAAGGGGGTGGGTGGGGCACCCGTCTCCCCTCTCCACTCCCGACCAGCCCCCACCGTGAGCACACCCTGGCCATTTAACAGGCAAAGCGCTTCAAGAGTCTGAGGGCCACGCCGCTGGGAGGGGGGTCCGGGAACGGTTTCCACATTCAGTCCCTCTAGATGCAATTCATCTCAGAGAAGCGTCCCATCTCCCTAGGGATCTGAGGCCATGGTTCTCACCCTGGCCGGGCACTGGATCCCTGAGGATTTTTTAAATTTTTTTTTTAAAAATTTTTTTTAACGTTTATTTATTTTTGGGACAGAGAGAGACAGAGCATGAACGGGGGAGGGGCAGAGAGAGAGGGAGACACAGAATCGGAAGCAGGCTCCAGGCTCTGAGCCATCAGCCCAGAGCCCGACGCGGGGCTCGAACTCACAGACCGCGAGATCGTGACCTGAGCTGAAGTCGGACGCTTAACCGATGGAGCCACCCAGGCGCCCCACCCTGAGGATTTTTAAAAAGGCGAATGTCTGGCTCCAGCCCCAGAGGTTCTGATTTGTCTAGGGCACGGACGGCCTGGACACTGGGGCTTTAAAAGTTATCAGGGTGACTCCCAGGTGCACCCAGGTGTGTGACCCCTGCTCCGGGGACCACACGCTACTGCTAAGCAACGGAAGGGGGCGGAGGTTGAGATGATCCAAAGTCCACAGGACGGAAGAGCCAATTATAACAATTACAAGAGGACGAAGCCATCTACTCTGCCCTCCTTTGCATTCCATTCCCTTCCCGCCCTGCTGGCCTCCCTTTTCTCCTTTGCGGACCGCAGACTCCCTGGGCCTCTAACCCTGCAGCCCCGTGATGCTCCCGTCCTCTGTCCCCTCTGCTGGGCCCCAGTCAGCTCTGCTCCAGACACCCCCGAGGGCCCAGCCTACCTGGGTTTCTGATCTCATGGCTCAACTTCTTCAGCTTGTTCAACTCTGGGACCGGGAGGCGCAAGGAGAAACAAAACAAAACAAGGAGAGTGAAGTGCCCGGGGCCAGTGGGTTCATGGGAGCCATCCGATAGCGTCCCGTGCTGGGTGAAAGTCCCAAGAGACCCCCACCCCCCCAGCCTGGAGTCACTCGCTACACAGGAGGTGAGGGTGAGGGACAGTGTTGTAGGCCACCTGAGGCATGCTACCTCCTCGGGGAAGTTTTACCCTGTGCCGGGCTCCGCGTGCCCTCACCCGTCCTCACACAGCGCTGTGGGGTGAGCACTACTGTCCCCTCTGACCGCTACAGGCCCACTGGTGGCCGGGGTGGGGCCCACACTTCATTTTCCCTTGTAAGCCCCAGAGCCCTGAGTATGGTGAGTCTCGACTCATGGCAAAGTGAAAACAAAGGTGGCTTTAGTTTGCAGACAGTCAATCACCTGACTGTATCCGCATAACATTGTTTCTGCTGGGACAGCCCCGGGGATTATAATCTCCCTTTGCAGACCAGCCAACCGAGGTCCAGAGAGGCGACGTGGCTTGCTCCACATCAAGCAGCCGGCAGATTATGGAAGTGGACTCGGAACCTGAGCCTGTGTGGCTTCTGCATCTTAACAAAATCAGAGGGCCTCACGAGCAAGCACTCAGCCGGGGAGACGGCAGCCCGTCGCCCCTCGTACTCTGGGGACAGCGGAGCCGGAGTCTTGTCCGTCAACAGCACTGGCTCCAGTTCTGTCTAAGCCATCAAACGTGGCTGACCCTTGAGACACAGCATCCCCTCTCTGGTTTGCCACAGTCCCCGCTGCTCCCTATTGTCCTGGTTCCTCAGACCAGCGGCCATTTGCAATTTGCCCTCACCCTGCACTGTGGTATTTCTGGGGCGACAGAAGGAGGTGAAATAATTCTGGTACCTTTGCTTTTTATCAAAAGTAGAAAAGGGAAAGAGAGACAAGAAGAACGTGAACTCTGCCGAGCAGGGATTTTTGACTGTTGAGTTCGCAGTGCCCAGGACAGTGTCTGGAGTATGGCAGGTGCTCCACAGATACTCGTCAATGGACTGGCTGACTGAATGGGTGGGTGACGGCCTACTTCTCCGGAAATCGCTGCTTTATCAGTTTTTGTTGCTCCTTGCCAGCCTCTGGGGACATTTGTGTTCGGGACTCTTGATGTGGGCCTGTCTCTCTGGGGGAGGTGGCAGTGGGGCAGGGGCATTACCTTCCTCAGTCAGCGTGTGGCTGGCCGAGATGTCTTCGTCAGCATCGGTGACCACTACTGAGTAGGTGCCCAAATCCTCAAGGCCAGGCTCTTTCAGGATGACCTTGGACCTGGTGGAGAGAGGAAAGCAGAGACTCGGTGAGGAGCCTTGTGCCCTGGAGGCCTGAGAACTGCAAGCCCGGCACCCCAGCCCCACCCCTGGCCACGCCTCCTTTGCGCCCCCCCCCCCCCGCCCGGAGTGCCCTGCCGAGGGTAGCTCTGGCCTGGCACCTTCAATGGCCCCGTTAGCCAGGCTCTCTGGCACAGGGTCTTCCTACTGGCCACACTGCCCTCTCTCTTGCCCCCCAGGGCTCAAGCCATCATCTGGACAGGGCCGAAGCCAGAGCTGCTGGGGGTGGGCGAGTGAGACATGGGGACGTTTGACCTCTGGTCCCAACCCCTCTTTTTACACGTGAGGACGTGAGGACGCTGAGCCCAGAGAACTTTCGAGAGCAAGCCGCTAGCACCCAGGCTAGAAACCACGTGCTTAGCATCTCCTTGGCAGCGCAATTCCTTGCAGAAGAAGAATCTTTAGTGAATGTTGCCATTTTTGCCCTTAAATGCATCGTCCCCTCATTTCTACCTAAGGTGGCAGCCGGCGTCCTTGGTGAGAGACCAAGCACCCCCCCCCAGCCCCATTATCGTTTCCCCCCCCCCCCCCCCCGGTGGCCTTGCCCCTGAACTTCTCCCCACTCACCTGACAGCCTTTGGGACCTGTGGACTAGTTACACCGCCCCTCTGCCCTCACTTACTTGTTAGCTTTCTCCTCGATCTTGACCCTCTGGGGGTCTGGCGGGCCCTTGTAGTCCTTGGACCACTGAAACTCTGACGAGTCAGGGGCCTCGGGGGCTTCGAAAGCCAAGTAGATAAAGCCCTCTTCATCCACACCAACCTCGATCTCTCGGGCATCTGAGGGCAGGACCCAAGGCAGGGCACCAGACGTTGAGAAGCAATAAACCCAAGTCACTCGCCTTCCTGCTTAACCCTTTCCACGGCTGCCCATTTGCGCTCGAATAAAATGATAAACCCCAGTCTCCTTGCCCGGGTCTCCAAGGCCTTGTGTGATCAGCTCCCTCTCAGCTCTAATGTCACACCTCCTCAGAGAGGCCCTCCCTGACCACCCTGGCTAAAGTAAGCCCCGCCCCACCCCATCCCCCTGTTCATTTCCTTTACAGCACTTACCACCCCTTTAAGTCATCACCTTCGCATAATCCTTTCCTTGTTTACATCCGTCCGGCCCCTCCCCCATGCTAGGGCAGGGGCCCTGTGTCCCCAGTGCAGTGTGGGCATCACCAAATATTTGTGGAATGAACGGAGAATTGAAAGACTGGAAAAAGAATGTGGCTTATAGGCCGCAGAGATAAGTGACTCCGTCATGTGCTAGCTGCGTGACCGGACCGGTTAACTTCTGAGCCACGGCAGAGTCAGTTGTGAGTGGGGGCAATGATCCCTCGCCCAGGGGCCTGCTGGGAGGGCCGGGCCGTGTGAGGACCTAGTGTAGCACCTGGCGTGTGTGGCAGGAGGGGACCTCGGGAGCTGTGGTTGCAAGAGCGACAAAGCCTCGTGTGGTATCTGGGATGGAGCTGGGTGTTAAATATCCACGAGGAGTTGTGGGAGTTTATGCATATGGCACGTGAAAGAATGGAAAACCCCATCGAATAGGAAGCAAACGTATGTTCGTATCTTGGGGTCCCACAGAAATGAGCAGGAGTGGGGAGTGGGCGAGAAACAGGCAAGAAGGAAAGGCGGAGCCGGATGATGTGCAGGGTGGCGGTGGGAGGGGGCCCTTCCTGCCGCACATCTGCATGCTCCTCCTGACCCTCCGCTCACCTCTGCCTGTCCCTGATGGCACAGCCCGGCCTCGTGGTGCCCACGCCTCCCCCTGCCCTTACCTGGCTTGTCTTCCAGGAGTATGGGGTCGGTGGGCATGGATGGCTGTCCCGGACCCGCTGAATTCACGGCCTGAACCTGGAACCTGTACCTCTTTCCCGCCTGCAAGTCAGAGACCTGGGGGAGGTGGAGGGGTGGGCCAGGGTGAGCACTGAGGACAGCAAAGACTCGCCCTGGGGTGGGGGGCAGGCCAGGAGCACCCCACTCTCCCGAGTCCCAGTCTGCAGTGGGTTCCTGCACTGGGATTACTGAATTCTGCTCACTTAACTCATCACCCGCCTCAACAAGAAAGCACCCCATCTCTTCTCCATCCATCACCCCAGAGAGAAGCCTGGGGATCACCTTTGACAGCTTTCTCTTGAGCCCTACACTTCTCATCGCTGAGTTCACGGTTGCCCAACATTTCTTGAACGTGGCTACTCTTCTCCACGTCCCAGCCGTGGCCCTGATTGAGGCTTTATTTCTCCTCACCTGGATTAGTCCAACAGTTCCCCGAATGGTGTCCCTGACTCTAGATCCTTCTTCCCAGACTTCCCCTCTGCCAGTCCTTCCAAGATGCCGGTCTGATCATGCTTAGCATGCTTAGCGCAACATCTTCCTAATCTGGCCCTAGCCTTCTGTGTCTTCTGTGTTCTTGCCGTTCCGTGTGGCCCCTTCACTCCATGACTCCCTCCGGGTGCCCAGATTCACCTGATCGGTTTCCCGTTTCACGTCTTCCTGCCTTTGTCCTTGCTGAGCCCTGTGCCTGCAAAGCCCTCCCCTTGTTCTTGGTCTAGCCAACGCCAATTCATCCTTGACCACTCAGCTCAGCTCGGGCAGATTCGAGGACTCCAGGAAGGGTCTCTTACCTTCCTCCTTGGAACTCCCAGAATCCCTTTGGGCCTCCCCCTCAATCATACAATACACAGTAAGGTAACTGCTTGCTGCCCAAAGACCGCGGCTTATTTCGTTCTTTGTGTCTAGGATCCGGTTCCAGACCTGGCACTAAGAAGGCACCAAGAGGTGTTCAGTAAATGGCCAACCACTCACAATGCAAAAATGGTGCCAAGTCACCAGGGCCTGCCCAGCCTGGCCTGGGCCAAGCTACGTGGGGAGGCAGAAGGACCGTCCCTCTCGTGTGGCTCTCTGGGACCAGCTGTTCGGCGCTGGCCGACTCTACTGCAGGGGGCCTGACCCCGTGGGGCAGAAACTGCAGAATCGCAGAGCATTCCACTGGCCAAGGCCTGTCCTCCCCGCTCGTTTCCAGTGGCCTTACGGTTATTGTTTCAAAATGAAAGGTTTTAACTGTTTTGATTCTAAAAGAAAGACACACTTGCTGGGAAAATATTAAAGCAATAGAGAAGAATGTAAAATGAAGGGTTAAGCTCTCCTGGCAGTCCCACCCCCACAGACGACCAGAAATAACAATTTTTTTTTTTCCCCAAAACAAATCTGGCTTTACTTTCCAGCGGAAGCCGATCCTAGATCTAACACTGCACAAGGTTTCTTGGACGATGACCAGAGAAGTCCCTTTACACTGCCTCGCTTTGCCAGAGAATCCCCGTGGAAGGCTTCGCCAATCTGCATGCTGTCCTCGTGCTGGGACCATTGCTCATCTTCTCTGATGGTCCCAATTTTAGTATAGGTGCTGCCGAAGCGAGCACCAGAAATAACAACTCTGTAACACTCCATTTGGGCTTTGAAATGCACATAAACCATGTAGAAACACGACAGGCGCCACGTTTGTTAGTTTCGCATTCTTTCCACATTGTTTGGGGCACCGTGAACGTGCCTCCCTCTCTCTTGGTGCTAACTGATGGGACGCTAATGTGTGGTCTTGAAAAGTGAGTTGGGGAAGAGACATTCCTCCTTTCCCTAGAGCTCCAGAAAATAGAATCTAGTCCACGTCACAGGACTATCCTCACAAATGTTCCTCAAACACAGGCGGCCCCGGGGGGACTTGGTGGCTGCAGAGATGGGCGCTGGGTGTGTGGAAACAGCCTCAGGCACCGGGAAGTCTGGGATTCTGACGGATTGTCTAAGGCAGTGATTTGTGCCCACTGAGAACGCTTCCTTGACACTTTGTTTTCTGGCCTGTCCAATATTGGCCAGTTGGTGGAAGTTCCAATGACCATCACAGGTGAATAAAACCAATGATTCTGCTAGATTTCTTATTTATCCAAAAAGTTTAGAGTTTGTTTCTCATTTAAATTAGGAAATACTGGGGTGCCTGGGTGGCTCAGTCGGCTAGGCATCCCACTTTGGCTTAGGTCATGATCTTGCAGTCTGTGGGTTCGAAGCCTGCCTCGGGCTCTGTGCTGACAGCTCAGAAGCCTGGAGCCTGCTTTGGATGCTGTGTCTCCCTCTCTCTGCCCCTCCCCCACGTGCACTCTAAGAAAAATAAACATTAAAAAAAAGAGAGAAATATATATCTATGTATATGTTTGTTAATGTATAATATTATATATATACATAGTATGTTACTGAACATATAAATATTCTACTTTGTATTCTGCTTTTCTTAGCCACAGATGATGGATCTATTTTCATGTCAGTACATACATGTAGGTACACCTCATTTTTTGTACTATTGTCACTCCTTAAACTATCATCGCCTTTCTACTACCTGGCACAGGATTACACGCTAAGGATACACTGATTGATTTAAGCAAACCCCCTACCGATGGACATTTAAGTTGTTTCCAACTTTTGCCTGTATAGGTCTTTGTGCACTTGCTTAATTATTTCTCTGCAATCCAAAGGCCTATCCAATGCTGACATACCTGGATGACTGTGAGTGAGGGTTTAGGGAGGAGTCTGCCCAGCTTGGAGCAGTTTAAGGCAACCGGCCAGCGGGTCAGACTGCCAATTTGCCGTGTGACCCTGGGTATGCGACTCCCCATCTCTGGTCCTGTGCTCACATTAAGTGAGAGCAGTGATCTCTGAGGGTCATCCCAGCTCCGGTGTTCTGTAGTCCTGCTATGTTCAGTGGCAGGGAAGGCTCGGGGTGGGGCAGGGGGTGAAGGGGCAGGGGACTCACCCTCAGGTGGGTGCCAGAGATGCGGTCTGGGGTGACTGGCTGCCACTGTTCAGAGCCTTCTTCCTGGACACTGACGAGGTAGCCTGTGACCGGCCCAGCCCCGGTGTAAAGGGGGGGCTCCCACTTCAGCATCAGGGAGGTGGCCCGCACCTCGAACGCCTGCACGTCATACGGGGGGCCTGTGGGAGGTGGGGTAGAGGAGGAGTCGGCCAGCCAGCCAGCTAGGCAGCGAGCCGGTAGATCTGTCATCAACCTTGTCAATCTGGAAGCGCCTGCTCTGGGCATAGTGGGGGCCTGGTAGGACTTGGCTTCATGACAAACTTGGTCTTGGTCTGGGCCTGAGAGAGCGTTAACTTTTCAAAATGTGCTCAGCATCACTTCTTCCGGAAGCATCCACGATCTTCTCCCTCCCTATCCCAGGCAGCAGTAACCCTTCTAATGTCTTTGCTATTTCAGTGATTAGTGTAGGGGCTACGGCATGACCCCCAGAGTCAGATCCCCGGGGTTCGGGCCCCAGCTTCAGGCTTTGGGGCCTCTGCTCAAGTTCCTCAACCCCTATGTTCCTGTCTCCTCATCTATAAAATACAGATAATGGTAATTATTATAGTCTAGTGTTGCTGTGAGCATGAATGGCATGACTTGTGGGATCTGTCCACACATGGTAAGTACCCAATAAATATCAGTTGTTCATAATTACTGTCTAAAGCATCACGCATACTAATTATCTACCATTTAGTTAAAAATAAAAACCAGCACTGAGCTGAACAGCATGATGGAAGGTTGCGATCCTTCCTTCTTGGGGAGGAGGTGGGGGCTCATCTGAGAGAAAGTTAACGGGGTTGTGGGGAACGGCGTGCAGGGTGTCAGTCACCTTAACAGCGTGCTTCTGGGGTCTGACATTGGCCTGCGGCCAAAATCAGAGCTCAGATGGTGTGCTGAGCTAGGGGATAGTTTATGCGGAGGGTGCAGAGCCAGTTGATGGCCAAGGTCAGGGGTCCTCTAAGGTAAGGTTAAGACTGTCTGTGTCAGAGATTATAGGGTTTGTTGGTGGAAGGGACCAGGGGTCTGAGGTCTGGGGCCAACAGAGCAAGCTTGGATGCACAGAAAGCTTGGTGACACCCATCCCATCTACTGGTTGGATTTGGGGGACGGGGTGAAGGCAGGTGCTGGGCTTCGGCATCTTTAGACCCCTCACCTGGTTGGGGCATCGTCCACTCTTTGCACTCAAACAGGCTGCTGGGCGCCGACAGCTCGCCAACACCTGCCCAGTTTGCCGCCCGGGCACGGAACTCGTAGAAGTGGCCTTCACGAAGGTTACTGATCTTGAAGAGCAGAAACAGACAGTGAAAGCCAAGGCTGAGGCAAAAGGGGAAGGGGTGTGGCAGGGGCAGCACGGAGGTCAGAGCAGGAAGTCCCTGGGGCTTAAACAAGGTTGGTCAAGTGAGTCTGCATTTGAAAATTAGCCAGATTATTGAGTCCAGGGAACCTGAGGCCTTCTTGGCTTCAGGACCTCTAACAGTGACCTCTGGTCTCCACCGGCACAGGCCAGGACACGAGGCGGTGGCCACATTCCAGGCTTACCTTGCAGACCCGGGTGGGGATGGGCTGCTGGTTGACCGGGTGCCAGTCCAGCTCCTCTGAGTCGTGCTGGTCCAGGAAGTAGCCCAGGATCTTGCCGCCTCCACGACGCTTGGGGGGCTTCCACCCAATGACCATGTCATTTTTCCCACAGCTCAGGAGCGCGAAATCATATGGGGCAGATGGCGTGGCTACGGGGAGGAGGGAGGTGAGGACAGCCGCTTCCTTAGGGGCGGCCACATTGGGCAGTGGGGCCCGAGGGAGCCAACATGCGTCCTCCAGTGGATGCCCACCTTGCTTTGGGGTACTAATTTAGCCAACAGCATTTGCCAGTAATCCTGACTCCACTCCCTAGAGGGCAGCTGGGCCTCAGAGCTGGTGAGACCTTTGCCCCATGGCCTCACGCCATTGCCCTCTCCCCCCCAACGGACAGGCCGGGCGGTGCGGGGGGGGGGGGGTCAGCTTTAGTTCCCCTCAGAGGACTTACGCCCCCTTGGTCTCTGGGACTAGACCCTCCAAGATGTGGTCGATAAGCCCCCACTCTCTGCCCCACTCAGGGCTGCCCCCAGGAGACATGCAGACTGGACCTGCCCTTTGGACTTACCCAGAGCCTGCTTGACCCTGATGGGTTCGGTGGTCGCTGAGCTCTCACCTACCCCAGCCTCGCTGACTGATCGGACACAAAACTCGTACTCTTTCCCTGTCTTCAGCCCAGGGACCGTAAACCTGGAAGAGAAATGTGTAAGCTTTCAGGGAGGGTCAAACAACTTGCAGATGTCCCTGAACTTTCTAGAACAATCTTGTGGGCTAAGTGGCCACCAGAGGTAGGATCTGAGGTTTTGGGCCAGTTCTTTGTTTGTTTGTTTTTTTTTTAATTTTTTAAAGTTTATTTTATTTTATTAAAAATTTTTTTCAATGTTTATCTTTGAGAGAGAGAGAGACACAGTGTGAATGGGGGAAAGGCAGAGAGAGAGGGAGACACAGAAGCTAAAACAGTCTCCTGGCTCTGAGCTGTCAGCACAGAGCCTAACGCGGGGCTTGAACTCACGAACTGTGACATCATGACCTGAGCCAAAGTTGGACGCTTAACGGACCGAGTCATCCAGGTGCCCCTTAAGCATATTTTTTATTGATTTTGAGAGAGAGGCAGAGAGAGCGAGCAGGAGGGGGTAGAGAGAGAGGGAGAGAAAGGATCCCAAATAGGCTCCGCACTGTTAGCACAGAGCCCAATGCAGGGCTCGAACCCACGGATCGTGAGATCATGACCTGAGCCGAAATCAAGAGTCGGACGCTTAACTTACTGAGCCACCCCGGCTCCCCTAGGGCCAGTTCATGCCTAAAGATTATTGCCTCTGCCTCCAGAGTGATGCCCGCACCCTGGATGGTGAGTTATTAAGATTTTTAAAGGTTGGAGGAAGGTGGTCAAAAGGTACAAACTTCCAGTTATAAAGTAAATCAGTACTCGGGATGTAATACACAATGTGGGGACCACAGTTATTACCACTGTGTGATATACAGGAAAGTTGTTAAGAGAGTAGGTCCTAAGAGTTCTCATCACAACGAGAAAAATGATTTTTCTTTTTATTGTACCTATAGAAGATGATGGATGTTAACTAAGCCTATGGTGGCAATCATTTCATAACATACGTAAATCAAACCACCATGCTGTCTACCTTGAACTTATACAGACAGTCACGTATGTCTATTATCTCTCGATAAAACTGGGGAAAAAAAAAGATGTTAAAGGGTGTGGCTCTTCCAGAGTCCACCATTAAAATGCAGATATGCTGGGAAAGCTACCCCCCGAAGGCCCAGGCAGCCAACCCCTGAACTGTGCTATCTGGTGTATGTCCAGGACTTTGGGCCTCGTCCTTGAAATACAGCAGTGGTTCATATTATCTGCATGGATTCTGTGATTCTAAAACACAGAATCCTGTCAAAGACCCAGAAAGAGAATTGTCATCCAGAGACATACATCCAGAGACACTCTGGTTTAGACAAAAATGCCCCTTCCTGATAAAACCCAAATGGCAGACCCCTTTTTCTCTCTTTCCACTTATCGACAGTTTCCTGTAGCAAATCTTGCTCTACAGGGAGCTTCTCTCAGCCAGCTGTCCCCGATGAGACCTGAGGACCTCAGTCAAGTGTTGACAGCTGCTGACACAGCAGTAAGTTCCCTGCTCAGGGACATGCATGTCTCATGGGGAGCACACCTCAATGAGAGGGATGGAGCATGGAGGGGGGGATGTTGCTCAGGGAGCACCTGGTCAGGGGAGGCTGGGGGTGGCTCCCAGGACCAGCCCCTGCCGACAACAGATGGTGACCATGACAGCAATAACGGCAGCCACGCACGCAGGTCTAGCCCTGGCTTTCCCTATAATCCACGTAATCGCAGGCTCTTGTCACAGCACCCTCAGAAGAAGGTACTGTTGTTACCCCTGTCTTGGAGGTACGGATGAAGTTGAATGTCGGAATGCGGAGGGGCCCTTACGGATCAAAGGGTCCAGTTTCTGCACTTTCCCGGTGGGGAGGGCCTCCCCCAGAAGGAAAGAGGAGAGCCAAGGGCACCCGGCCAATTAGAAACACCACCTGGACCATAGCCCAGGCCTCCTGAGTCCCAGAGCAGAGTCTGCCCATTCGTTAGTCATCCATTAGGACATTCAGACATGGAGCATACAATGAGCCGGGTTCTGTGGGGCCCGGCGGTATGGCAGACCGGACCCCCCCAGTCCAGCGGGGCTCCCTTTATGCCATCACACAAGGCAGCACTCCTGAGCAGTGGTGGTTAGCCTCTTTCCAGCCATGACATATGTAACCGTCAGCACGCACACGTGTGATGAGTTCTCTGGACGTTCCAGAAGAGTGTGCCACCCCTCATGTGTGACGTGTGTCCCAGATGTGTCAATACCTTGAGTAACTCTCTCACCACCCTTGCCTCCCCTCAGGGAAGCACATCAAATGCAAGTTGAAGGAGAGATATTATTCTAGGGACAACCTGGTCACATTTGTCAAAATTTGTCAAAAATCTGATGATTCTCCAACTTGGGAAGTTTTAGCCATAACGAATTATGAGTGACCCCTCACAGCTGACCACGAGATACCAAAGACTTGTGGGGGCCCCAGGTCCTGTCCCTTTTTCTGGGTAAGATAATCAAGGGGCTGGTGGCCAAGGGGAGCCCAGCCAGGTGTGCTCAGGGCCCCCAGGCAGTCATCTGATGGAAACGGAGGGGAGCCCCTGACCCCACAGAACCTCAAAACCGACAGAAGTCAGGAGCCCAGAAGCTTCGAGGTTCACTGTGACTGCCAGGACCAGGGCCACCGAGTGAGGAGGGAGCCTCTGCGGAGAGGAGAGTCTGGTCCTACCTGCTCAGATGACGGATGAGGAACCCAGCCTCAGAAGAACGAGTACCCATGCCCGAGCACCAGGCAAGTGAGGGGTGCGTGCAGAATCCGAACCCAGGCCTCCCGGGCTGCACCCTCTGCCTCTCTCTGTCTCTAAGCTCCCAGACAGACGAGACCCAGTCCGTCACCTCTGCAGGCAGCAAGCCCTCAGCCAGCGTTTGCTGAGTAAGAGCCCATCCGGTCAAGTTCCAGTTTTCCACTACTAGCTAAGGGACTCTGACAAGTTACTTAAGAGCTCCATGCCTGAGTTTCTTCATCTGCATAGTGATGAGAAAAACAACAGTCCTAAACTCAGAGCATTGCTGTTAGAATGAACTGACCTAATATAGGAAAAGAGCTTGGAATAGTGCCCAGCGCCCGGTGCCATATTGTGAAACGGCAGGTGCCACAGTCCTTATGGCCCCTCCTTGCAGGAAGGCTGGGGCAAACTCACTTGTTGCCCTGGATGGGTTTGTTGTTAACTGTTTGCCACTCAGATGATCCTGCTTCCCGGGAGTAGATGTAATAGCCCAGGAGCTCTGGGTGGCCTTTCACCGGGTCCCAGGTCAGGGACACAGAGGTCTGCGTGTCTCGGAACGCTTGAACTTGAGCTGGAGGAGGCAGAGTAGCTAAAAAACAGAAACGTGGGTGATGTGATGCTGCGGGGGAGGGGAGGGATGTGGGGAAAGGCTGGGAGGAGCCCCCACCACAATCAAGAGTGGCAGGGGGGTGGCAGTCATGCCCTGGGGCTTTGGGTATTCCCTCCTGGGCCCAGGGGCAGCCCCAGACTATTATTCTCAAGTTCCCTCCCTCTTACCTCCGAACATCTCTGCTTCCTCTTGAAAGCCTCCATTCATTAATCCTTAGTCTCCGTTCCCTCCCTCCCTCACCACTGTCTCTCTTTGGCGTGTGTGTGTGTGTGTGTGTGTGTGTGTGTGTGTGTGTGTGTCTTCTCATTTGGTATAATAATTTAACTTTTACAATACAGACAAATGCTTTTTTTTCTTCCTCCCTTCCCTCCCCCTCTCCCCTCTTTTTCTCTCCTCGCCTTTTCTGAACTATACAGGAACTTTGCCCTGACACTGCCTTCTGGTCCAAAGACTGCTCACATCTGATCACAAACCGCTCACTGGCCAGACTCTGAATCATGTCTACATGTTACCTGGGCCACGACTAAAGAAAAACACCACTTGTCCACCAATCCATCCATACTTGCTATGAGTGTGTGTGTGTGTGTGTGTGTGTGTGTGTGTATACACGTATATATATATATATATATATATATACTTCCTAACTTAGTGAAACAGATCAAATCTAGGACTTTGCTATCTTCCCCAAAGGGGCCCTGCAGCACTTCAGGCTTTTCTTGGATAGGGCGTGCTGCGGCTGGGTTCCTTAAAGGGCTAGTCAGTCGCGACAGCTGCAGGGAACCTTCTGATCTTATCAAAACCAAAGAACCCCAGAATCCGGGGGCCTCAGAAGAGGGAGGGGCCCTGCGAGGTTGGGACCAGGATGGAGACGCAGCTGGGAGACTCTGAAAGGGGCCGGAGGCGGGAGCGGTACCCAGGCTTTCAGAACACCAGGTTTGGCAGGTGAGGACACCAAAGCTTGCGGCTAGGAAATGACTTGCCCAGGCCCGTGCTGTGTTGCTGATGAGAGGCGCCCTGCCTGGGGAGCCAGAGCTTGGAGTGGGACAGCATTAGAACTGAGGGACCACTTGTTCGCACTCAGCTCCTGTGCTGGACCAGCTGGATTCTGCAACCTGTGAATTGCTGATCTGGAAAAAGTCTCCATACTCTCACGAGCTCCCCACCCAGAGAAACGTTGATTCCTGATGTTCTGAGATCAGGGCTGAGATCATGCTGCTTGTCAGCTTCGTGATAGGCAGAAGGGGTCAGGGACAGGGAATGGAGCATGGCTTTGTCTCTGCAGCGGTGAGTCCCCGCTCTGGATGCTGACGGCCTGGCCTGGCTTGGTCTGCCCCCCTCTCCTGCATCACATGGGTACCTGGCTTCCCCTTCAAGGCGATGGGCTCGCTGGGCTCCGATGGATCACTCATGCCATACTGGTTTACTGATCGCACTCTGAAGACATAGGACTTCCCTTTCTCCAGATCCAAAAGAGCGAATCTTGGAGATTTCACAGGAGTTTCTGAGCTGATGGCCTCCCAGGTGCCACTACCTATGACCGACTGTGACAAAGGAAAGAAACCCGCATTAGTTAAGCAGTTGCTTGGGACCGGGCTCTGTGCCCACACAGCTCTCATTAACTTCTAACCCCCGGCCGAGGCTGGCCCTGAACATTGAGTTCTGGATCCCCTATCCCCTCAACATCTCTGCCTGGATGCCTACTGAGCATCTCACCTTCAACATGTCTAGAACTTGACTCTGGATCTTGCCCCCAAACCCGCCCATATTTGGTTGGTGGGACCCATCCTTCTAATTGCTCAGGCCAAAATCCCTGAAGCCATCCTAGGCTCCTTCCCTCTGACCCTCACGTCCCAAATATGCTCTATCAACAAATTCAGTTGGCTCCCCCTTCAGAATCTATCCAGAAACCAACATGGTGTATCACCTTATTGACCCCTGCTACAGCCTTGATCCAAGCCATCAACATCATCATCATCATCATCACCACCATCATCTCTCACCTGAGCTACGTCACTCTTTTCTCTAAATGACAATCAGAAGGATCCTTTCAGAACACAAGTCAGATCACATCCCCATCTGTCCATCTGACATCTCCCTCAGGGTGGAAGCTTCTTCATGGCCTGACCCTTGCTACCCATCTGGCCACATCCACTTCTCCCTTCCCCCTGAGCCTCCCTGATCTTCCGGATGGCAACAGGCCCAGCTCTTGCCTCTGGGCCTTTGCACTTGCTGGTGTCTTTGCCTGGGATGTTCTTCCCTCCAGAAATCTCTGCTAGTCTCCTCATTTCTTTTAGGTTTTTATTCAAAACTCACCTTCTCAGAGAGGACTCCCCAGCTCCCCATCCAAAAAGTCAGCCAACCCTCCCCCAAATACTTCAACCCCTCTCCCTGCTTTCTGTCTTTCTCCCTAGCACCTCCCACTAGTTAATGTGCTAAGTATTTTCCTGATTTATCTTCTTTACCGCCCATCCTGCACCCCCTACTCGAATCTCAGCTCCACGAGCCAGGGGTTTGTCTGTTTTATCCACTGCCAAACCCCCAGGGCCCAGAACAGCACTGGTACATGGGAGGTGCTCAATCTATGTTTGTGGGACCAACAAGTGAGGCAATGAATACATTCTCACAATAACCCTGCAAGGTACGTGTTAATTTCCCCACCAATGAGAAAACTTGGGTTCAGGGAATTTCGGTCACTTGACTGAAAGTCACGCATCTAATAACTGGTGTGTCTGGTATTTAAGCTCGGGTGTGGGTGCCTCCAACCTGCTTCCTCTTCACAGCATAAGGCTCCCAAAAGGCAGCCATAGATGCTGCGTCTCTGGGCAGATAGAGGGTGAAGGGCTGAGGGGGGCGGCAGGTGAGTAAGACGCCCAGAGGCCACTACCGCTGGGTATGGCAGTTAAAACCCGGAAGCACTGGGGGAGCTCACTGACCCTGCCCTCTCTGTGCTTTCCCCTCCCAAGGCCCACCTGCCTGTCAGTAGTCCAGAACCCAGCTAGGGGAAAGAAAATCCCAATAAAAACCAGGCAATGTTGCTGAGCACCTACTGTGGGCCAGGTTCTATTCTAGTCCTCGTGTACTTTAATTAATTTGATCCTCATATTGGTTCTCTAAGGTGCGTACGGTTATTAGCTCTCTTTTACGGAAGAAGAAACTGAGGCACAGAGAGACTAACTAACTTGCCCAAGGTCACACAGCTAGTAAGTAACAGAGACCAGATTTGAACCCAGGCAATCTGACCCCAACATTTGAACCATCACATGGCTAGAGCCTCACAAAGCAAGTCCTCAACGATGCATGGCTTTCCTATGTGGGAAAGACAGGATCACCCGTGCGTGTGCAAAGAGAGGCCCATTTGAACAACCCGAACTTTCGCTAACCCTGTGCTGTCCCCCTACTACGTGCCGGGCCGTGTGCAGCAAGTAATGAGAAGGTAACTCTGGTCTCTTCCTTTGGGGGAGTCGGAGTCAAGAACGTGTCCCTGGGACGTGTCTACAGGCCCAGAGCCGCGGGCCCAGCTGTGTGCCGCGTCTTATTTCACCCTCTGTTCGATGCCGGAGGAAACTGAGGCTCAGGGAGCTCAGGAAACTGGCTCACACAGCAGAAGTCAGGATTTGAGTTGATCTTAACACCACACTGTTTTCCACTCTGCCAGCTGCCTCCCCTCCACTGTGAAATCCACTCCCGATGAGCTGCCCGCATCCCCAGACACCTGCCCCCACTTTGTCTGGCTGAGAACTGCCTCCAGCGCTACCCGCCCCCGCCCCCCCGCTGAGTGAGTGCGGCTGGCCGTGACCCTGGCTCCAGGGTACCCTCCCCGTGTGGCCCTGGCCAGGAAGAGGGGCTTGACTGGATGTGTGACTCCATGCCAGCCAGACTTGGGGGCGGGGAGCTACCCCGGAAATGGTGGATTGTACTTCTGTTATTGTGGTCTGTGTCCCTTAATTCTGTGTATTTCCATGAACGGCCTCGGGAGCTGCCGCCAGTAACTGGCCTGGGAGGGCTGAGGTCACCTCAAAAGGTCTGCCCCGGTGTAGGGCCAATCTCAGCCCTTCCAGGCAGGGATTCCCTTCTAGGGGACACTGCCTGTGGTCTCTCGGTGCTTCTCCCAGCTCCCCCACACCTCCCCGGGTGACAGCATGCCTATTCTTCAGCCTAGCCTGGGGCTGGGGCCCTTGGAGTCTCCATACCTTCTCCAGAGAGTATGTCAGTGGGGCTTTGCCCCGAGGCCTTGGCTCATCCCAGCCGAGAACCACGTAGGCATCACGGATCTCACTGGCGTGGACATTGGTCGGAGGTAAGGGGATGGTCACAAAGTCTGGAATCAGAGTCATCAAGGGGCAGAGACGGGTGGGCCGTCAGAGACCCCTCGTTTCACAGAGGAGGAAACGGGCCCAGAGAGGGGTAGGAACTTGCTCCAGGTCACCCAGCAAGGCCAGGCACAGCCAGGGCGAGAAGCCAGGTCTCCCAATATCCTCCCCAGGACTTTCCCCAACATGCTACCTCCTCTACAAGGGGCACAGCAAGATGGGCCACCGTCACCTGAGAACATTGGCCTCCTCCGACTGGACCTCACCGCCCTCCCCTCCCCACACCCCATACGTGGACAGCTTCTGCCTCTCTGCCAGTTTGTGTCCCAGAGTTTCCAGAACCAAAAGGAAGCTGGAATCGTGAGGCAAAGGGTTAGGAGGTTCACACGTACCTTCAAAATCATCTGTGCTGACCGTGATCTTGTTTCCCAGGTCAAAGGGGATCTCTAGGGTGGAGAATGGAGCACGTTGGGGAATGGAGCATGTTGGGGGAGAAGTAGGGGGTGCAGAGGTTGTGTGTGGTGGGGGGCTAGGGCAGGAGAGGTCAGGGCAGGACCTGCCAACTCTGGGAGCTGATTCCTCGCCCTGTTCCCAGTCCTGGCTTCTGAGCTCCTCCCTGTTTGACCTCAAGCAGGTGCTGTCTGACCCCCAGACTCTCAGGGGTCTAAAGCAGAACACTGCTGTTCTAGACCCTGAGAGGTGCTCTGTCTTCTTGGGACAAATGGGGACAGAAGGGAAGTAATGTGTCTGGGGTCGGATGCCTAGGGCACGGCGGAGCTGGAGGCAAACCCAAGTCAGACTGACCCCTCAAGGCTGGAAGGGCAGTGGGGGGGCCCCCACCACATGCCCCCAGGCTGACAGCTCCTGAAGCAGGGCTGTTTTCCTCCTTCAGATTAAGGGCATCTGAAGAAGGTGTTGTGGTCCTTCCTCAGTTTAGCATCTCCTGTGGGCAGATTCATGTTCCTTTCATCAGACTAGCTATACCTTCCCCTTTGGGCTAGGGCTTCCTCAGGACAGCACTGCACTTCCTCCAACAGCCTAGGGGTTCCTGAGACTGTGTCTCCTCCATCAGACTAGCAGTTCCT